GCTCTGAACGATCTCAGCGACATATTCCACACATCTTTTAAACAAAATTATCGATTGTCTGGAATATTACTGCGATCATTCGTTTATTGCCAAGATCAAAAGTAGTTGGAAAGAAGTGGCTCAGAGGAACATGCGATAAATGCGAAATTTCACAGTTTTGCGAGCAAACTTATTCATGTTCTATCAGTCTGTCCAAATTTGAGTCAATCAATGAAGAAGACCATTTCAGATCCACTAGATTCATCCGTAGATCACGGATCTACGGTACCAACGCCGGATATAACCAAGAAATCAGAAGATGATGATTTCGTAAAGGTTGATGAGGACGGAAAAGAGTTGTCGTTACCGAGGCGATTAACCAAGACATCGGCAGCCAGTCACTTGCAAGTGTCGAATGCGAGTTCATATTTGGATCTCCAAGCAGCCACTAATGGTAACACCGTATTTCCACAGCTTCCCACTCCCTTACGACTTATCCGTCAATAACACTGCTAAAATTTATTCTCAGTGGGAAAAAAAACCAAGAACTTGATAGATGAACACAAATGATGAAACTCTATGATTGCTGTCAACATGTCAGATCATATCAAGCAACAGAAAATCGCTCGTCATTAGCAAATCATGGAATTTTGCGTTTTTGATGTTATACTCTCAATGGTGAGATAGCGGTGTAATAATTTGACATAATTGGTAGTTTGCTGTGTGCTGTTGATAAATATCACTTGTTTTGCAGGCCAATTGGTCGAAGAGGAGGAAAATTTGGGCTTAGCCGCAATGTCGTGGTCTGTTTACAAGTAAGACTCTCTCATTTTCTTCATTACCCATTTTTTTCATCCAGTCAGTCGACAGATTATTGCGACTGTGAATTGTTATGTTCACTTTGAGACAAGAATGATCTAAGGGTAGATAACTCGATCAAAGATTCATAAGGATTATTAATATTGCAATTTGCAGAGAATACATAAACGCTGCAGGAACTTATTTAATATGGGCAATGCTTTTGATTGCATTTGTGTTGAATGTCTTCGCAACAATATTCTCAACCGCATGGTTGTCACAGTGGATGAAATACGGACATGCTGAATTGGTTTCTTTTGAGAACATTTTTAAATTATTCCTAATTCGACAATTATTATGAAATGGGATATTATGAAAAGAGATTGTTCTCCTGTCAGGAAATTCACGTTGATTATTCAGGAATTCTAGTCAAAACCCGAAATTGATTGTTAAGATCGCAATCTCTCTTAATAATCAATCTTAAATGTGAAATTCTTAAGAATTTCAATCAGATAGATTCATAAAACCTCACGGAATCTATTCATTCAATCTGATATTGTTGACTGTTAAAGTTCCGACAAAACGCGTAATCAATTTCTTTACGGAAGCGACAGTGTGAAATAAATCATTATTTGCATTGCAGTTGATTAATGAAAGTGGTGAACTAAAAGTTGTGAAGCAAAGTCTCGCAGACAGTGACTCTACGGGCTATTATGCGACAATTTATTTGCTCTCGTTGATTCTCCTTTTCGTTTCCGGATTCTTGAAGGCCGTAATTTTCGTTAAGGTTAGACAATAGAGATTTCAACATTTCGCTGCATTTGTTCAATCGCAATTCTTTTATCTTGTATTGTTTCGTTGTGTTTTAATGATTTGTGGAATACTTGTGCACTGTTTTGGAGTGACTGGTTCGTTGTCTGAGTTTCTGTTTTGCTGGAGATACGGCGTGAGTTATCGATGAAGTTCTCAAGCGATTAAATGGGTGATTTCTTCAATATCTCAGGTTTCGTTGAATGCGGCCTCTCGGTTGCACAGTCGTATGTTCAAGTCGATTATTCGAGCCACTGTGCAATTCTTTGACGTTACACCGACTGGACGAATTTTGAATCGTTTCACGAAAGACATGGATGAAAGTTAGTCTCAAATCGCTTGTTGTCAAATCATCTAACCGCCAACGTATCGAATTTATAAAACCATTATAAATTATCGAACTTATACTATTATGGAGTTTTATGAGTTTTATAAGTTCAATAATTCTTACAGTGTGAACCTTTCCTCTAATGTATGATCTAAAAGCT